GGTTCCCACTCTGCAGTCTGGATTCTTGTAATCTAAACAAACAGTCACTGATGAGAAGCTAGAGAATTAGTCCTTGGGAACAGGTTCACTGTAGTTAGTTTAGCTATCAGATAAGCTGCATCTCAGCTGTTTGAGTGTCTTCTGGTGAGCGATGCTGAAGGTTACAAGACGGTGGCTGTAAAGATACTTTCAAAAACATAGCAGAAACAGCTAGTTAAAAACTTTGTAGTTTTTTGTATTTGTGCAGAATATTAAGCACAACTGAAACCTTTTTGATTCGAATGTTTTACCAAGTCTAAAGACCTTTTTAAAAAACAGGCCTAAAATGTAACAGCATTAAGCGTCTAGGCTAAACACATTATTTACTGCAATGACATTAACTGGCAAAAGGCAAATTCAAAACTGCTGCTGAGTACAGAAAATTTCACTGAAGCTATGAGGACAGTGAAGAATGTTAGTACAGGGGTTAAAAATAATCCTATCCATGAACTACCAGTCAGCACTATGAAATGATGGTTTAGCAGAGCTGAAAAGACTCAATGAGGTTTAATACCAGGCTACTCACAGTGAACTTGAAAGCCTGACAAGGTATTAAGAGAACACTTACCAGTTACCAACAACTGACAACCATCTCGAGGAGCATGAGGAAAATAGAAAAGGGGCTTCCATAAACTCTCGCAAACTTTGTACATAACTGAATAGTATAGTTACTTGGAAGAGCAATCACAAAGGCTAACTTCAATATATGGAGTCTTACCTCTCCCAGCTCCTCCTGTACCCAGGGGAGAAAAAGAGGCTCCTCTGGAGAGTAAAACCTCTGAACCAGCCCCCGAAAGGCTTCTCATTCCTCACTGATTACAGAGGGAATATACAGGAAGATCAGCCCCAATTGACTGAAGTTTGTCTTTCTAATTATACTTCTCCCACCTCACTAGCTTTTGAGTCAAAATTTAAATAAGGTGCTCTTGCCACAAACCCAGAGTGAGTTTTTGTTTAGCTTTTGGTCGTTTTGTTGTTTTTAAGCTTTCCTTCAAGTGCAAACAAAGGTTAGTCAAAGAACAAAAGGGAGCACAATACTTAAATGCTGTAAGGAGACTGATTAACTAAAGAAATAGCAGGTTGCACAGGTTTCTAACTGTCTTACTTTACAAGACAAAACAAAGTAAAATCCTCCCAAAAGCAGATCATACATAGCAAAGTGTTAGATACTTTGAAGACACTTGGGTACAGGACTCCAGAAGAGCATCCCGCTACTAGTGCTGTTTGAAAATTAATGTTATAAAAGGGAGACTTCATTTCACACATTGTTAGACTTGACATGCATGGCAAATTCAATACACCAAAAGAAGGATCAGGACATGAAGGAGGAAAAACTCATATAGTTTGAGTCATCTTTCTACTCTTTTTTTTTTTTTTTTTAAGTACTACCCTGCTTTTCTCTACTTCCCAGTTATATTGCAGTTGCCCTGGACACGATATCCTGCTTATGAAACAAGCAGTCCAATGATAAGGACTTAAAGGGGAGGGAGATAACCCAGACAACAAGAAGGGACTTTGAATATTTGAGTTCAGTTTCCATGAAATCCATCCCCCCGCCCCCCAGTGAAAAAAAAATAAAGATCAGCCAGACTCCACCTCTTCTGCACTCCAATCACCAGGGCCCTTCTACATGCTGAACTCTATGCCATTGCCCTTGGAGTTCATTCTGCCTGGTGATGTTGACTGACAGTTTCAGAGAAACTTTCTCAGCAACTCCAGTTTTGTTACTGCAATGAAAATGCATGTGAAAACTCTAAGTGCCCGGGTGTCAAGCATAAACTCATGAAATTAGCTTTTATTAAGCAAGAAAGGTGGTTACTTTAACACTTCAGTCCAATACCTAAACAAAGCAACAGTATGTATGAAACATTCCAGCTAAAATTATTTTCTTTACCTTGAGAATATTTCATCTCCTCTGCTCTTTTTCACAGAATGGTCAGGGTTGGAAGGGACCTCGGAGATTTTCTATTCCTTTCTCCTCTTACTCTATTAGCACGTGCTAGAATCATTCATGGAAAATAAACCCACTGTCCTTGGTACCATTCAAACTTACAACAAAGTTGTTATTGCGTATTGCTATACGGCGACCACTTGCTCTTCGCCTAGCACTTACTGTTACAGTGCAATTTCTGTCTGAGAGCCTGCAGAAAACA